AAAAAAATGCAAATATTACTCAATTGAAGAGACAGGTGTCATTGCGTGAGAAAGAGGATAATGAATAAACGTTCGGGGAGGCCATGCACGAAATTTCCTTCGAATCTGTACGGTTATACGACAGATGAATCCAACAATTGTGAGGAGAGCACGCATTTCTTGTAATATCTCTGCATTCGTAGATTTTTTCGTACATGATTTTTCCGGCGTTACCTTTTCTTGCGAATTAAATGTCTCTGCCGCATGCGTAGTAGTCGGCTAGTGTACTTAACAAATAAAATTTCTGAAAAAAAATCCACCTCATGGCATATATGATTATTAACACCCATTCATTTAATATTGTTTGTGTTTTTATTTATTGATGCCCCTTCACTGCATTCGTTACATATGATTCTAATCATAGAGAACAATATATTAAGCTGAACATTTTCATGTATTCAAATGGAATATCGATTGAATTATCATTAAATATTTACAAAAGTACAAAAGCTTGTTAACTGTTGATACCTACACATCAATCTACAATAGTATGAGTTTGATTTCTATTCTGTCCTCCAAATCTGAAAATTTCTGAGTAAGTCAGCCCGCGAACTACATTTTTCTCGCATTCTTAATCTTTTGAGAGAGTAAAAAAAGTCAGACTTTATGTATTCCAAGACAGCATTGAAGCCATCACTTCATGTAGGCCTTTATTATCGTAAACAATCAACTTATGAGACTTCATGTAAAATTTTTGAAGCCGTCCAATATTGGTCCGATGTAAAATATTACAAAAAATTTCATTAAAATTGACATAAAATGCAATCCTTACTTCCATAAAATCTCCTCGATCCAATGCTAAAATGACTAATGAATGACATGGAGAATGAAAGAAGGAATAAATATACTCATGATTTTATATACATTATCAATGAATGAATGCAGCCCTCTCACATATTTTATATACTCTTGGATCATATTTTTCTTCTCTCTATACATATATATCTAGACTATTATAGTATAGCTATATTTTTTCGTGAGTTACTTTTCTTATTATTTCTATAAAACAATCTCGTTCTCATTGACGAATCCTCTTGCATCTTTCATTCTCTTTGTATTGAATGATATTTTGAAACGCAGCTTTGAGGGTGACAGGATAACTATCCTTCCCTCGAAGCTCACAATTTTGATGCTGATGGATCTCGATATGTTCGTTTTGCTCTCTGTGCATAGAACTTCTATTTCCAACCAATCACATTACAAATGTTTGCTGGATGAATGTCGGATTTAGACAAAAGTTTTCCAGTCTTAAGTTTTCAAAACCTCGACAACAACTCTAACATACATGACTTTATTGCTGACTATAATAGATAATTATATTCAGAAAACGTGATGTCAACAAAGTGTCGACTCTGCCCGAGGTTTTATGGGGACTTCAAGTTGGTTGTCAAAAAACAAGGAAAAATGCTAGAGAAGTGAATTTTTACATGATGATTTTTCCCCAGCGGATTTCGACCACGCACGAAAAAATTTAATAGAAAAACCTATCGAATTCGTTGGAAAATTCTATTGAATTTCTATTAAACTTTCTATTAGTTTTTGGCTAATTCTATTGACATGTTCAAGAGAAAAAGTCAACAGAATTCGATTTTTCTATATAACTTATTCTTTTCATATACTTTCTATAGAATTTGCTCGACTCAAAGTTTTTTTCATTTTATTTTTCTTTTCTTCTCATCAAGAAAATCAAACGAAAAAGCTTACAAAATTTGAGCCGAGGAAATTCTATAGAAAATACCTCAATAGAATAAGTTATATAGAAAAATTGAATTCTATTGACTTTTTCTACTGAATATTTTCTATTGAACATTTCAATAGAATCGGCCAAAAACTAATAGAACAGTTCACTAGAAATTCAATAGAATTTCCTAACGAATTCGATAGGTTTTTCTATTAAATTTTTTCGTCCGTGCAATCAGAGCGCAGTATTTGAGGCTACCCGAGTTTTATTTCGGATATTTCCTCCTAGCTTTTGAATATTTCACAGCAGCTCTTCATTTTTTCGGCTCATTTCAGAGCGAATCTTGTACTTGTCTACGGAAATCGGATTATTCTATCAACATAATTTGTTAAAATCTTTCCTAATTCACCTCGTGATGTTGCCCACTGCACTCTGATTGGCCAAAATGCGATTGGGAAAAATAATCCGACAAATACCTCTCGAGCTTCAAAATTAATCGGGTATTTCCCGCAAGCTCCTCTGCAAACAAACGATCGTGCCAATTTTTGCAGAAAAATCCCTCGTGCAAGCGCTCGGGATTTTTAAACCTGCAAAATTTGACACCCTCATTGGTTTACTCCGAAACTATCGGGAAATACCCGATAATTTTGAAGCTCGAGGGGAAGTTCTTGGAGTATTACTACTGATTATTATCACTGAGTGGAAGAAATTATCGGAAAAATGTGTCGTCATTGTTTTCAGTATTTAATTCATTACAACTGATTGAATGCTGAAAATAACGATAAATCTAAAGAATCCAGGAGTGGACGGGTACCCATTTGAAATCGAATTTTTTTATAAATCATACTATACAATAATTTGAAACGTCCGTTTCTTCGAAGAATTATAGAAGGCTCTAGAAAATTGTAGAAAGGTTCAAAATCTGCCGGGAAATTCGATAATTGTTTGGAAAGATCTCCATCTTCCCAAACATCGCAAAAAGTTCAGGAACTTTGGATGTTTTTTAATGACTATTTTCGAAAAAATTTCAATTTTTCAGCTCAAAATGGACTTCATTACGAAAAAAAATAGACTGCCGTAAGGCGGATCACGCAACACTAGTGTTTCAAATTATGCATTTTATCTAGTTTTTGATCGAGGGGCTATTCTCAGGCGTAATCGTGGTGTCACTCGCTGATGTAATCAATTGTAATCCCAGTGAAATCAATGTAATCATTGTAATCATATCATTACCATATTTGTAATCAAGTTCTGGTAATCAAGAGGTAATCATTTGTAATCACTGTAATCATTCGTAATCAGTGTAATTTTTCGTAGTTGCTCCTAGTGAGACCGTGAATTTTGTTTTTGAATTGTCGAAACTTAAGGTTCTTAGAGTATGTTAAGGGGAGACGGAACCCTTTGTCTACATCAAATCTTAGAATTGTGTTTTCTCCTACAATTATTAATTTCTATCGATGAAATTACTTTATCGACTCGATTATCGCATTGTTGAGTCAATGAAGTAGTTTAATGAATAAAAAATAATAATTGCAGGAGAGAACACAATCCTAACGATTCATATAAACGCAGGGATTCCGTTTCCCCTTAAGGGGTAACAAAGGCCAATATTTCCTCAAAATTTTCAAACAAATTTCCTGCTTAAAATTATTAGTACTTTTTGAACCCAAAGCACATTGACCTTCATCATCACCCCCTGGAGATCAACGTGCTTTGATCTGTGAAAATATCGATAACTCTGAGCAGGAAATTTGTTGGAAAATTGGCCGCATTCTGTTACACTGAGAGAAAAATATGATTCTTCTGACTATATTCCATCACCATCGAATTATAGTCAAAAAGTCAATGTAGTCATTGCAACTATTTTATAGTTCTACTCACGATAGATTTGTCGTGGTTACTTTTGAACTTTGGTTCGTTTAACTGCATTTTGATTTGCAAAAATTGCGCTTGTGAAGTTACGATAATGTTATGTGCCGCATACAAAAAAAAATCGTATCGTTCACCAAAACTGCCTCAACTATTTTCTTATTGTAAATCGAACTTCAGATTTTTCTCTCAGTGTCCAAGTACTCTGTGGCTATTTTTTCTGCAGTGAAATGCTTTTCTATTTTTGTAGTCGGACATCAGAGCTTTCATTTGAGCCCGATTTGACCCTACATTTCCGGACATTTTATAATGATTTTATTATTTAAACTTTGAGGATCTGGATTTGAATTTCAATACTGAACCGTTAGAAAACATTTCAGAAATCTAAAAAAAATTAGAAAGTTTACTTTTGAAGGAAGATTAATGCAATAATTTAAAAATTGCAATTTTTAAAAATTACGACCGTTTTGTATAAGTAATTCATAAACAACGAATATTTTTTAAAAATCATAATTCTGTGCAAAATGTTATCTTAATGACACCAAATATTCATGATTTTTTTCAAAATTGTCTCACTGTCAATCATTTAATTGACAAATTTGATGATTAAAAATAGTTAAATCTATAGTGTGGTCTGTACCAAACTGTAAAACATTCTTGAATACGAGGATATCCTTAAATACAAAGAATTCCAGCCCTCCTTCAAGAATTAATTGAATACTAAAAATAACGATAAGATTCCTCCACATTTTTGGAATAATTTCTTTCACTCATTTACAATCATTTGGAACATGCAATTCACTGGCATATTTTCTTATTATTCAAAAACTACTGAGGATACCCTTTATATGACTTCAGAAAAATTCATTTTTCTGATAAAGAATAGTACAGTAAAACGGACCGTCTTCAATCGTTGATCTTATCTGACCAAACAATTAAGAAATACCTTGAAAACTTCTATTTAAATTCTAGGAATCTCTCGTTAAAATTCTATTTGTTTTTTGCGCAGATCCCGTTAGATATTTGATAGGAAAAAGTCAATAGATTGCGATTTTTCTGTTTGAATTTTTCTCAAGATTTTTTATGTTAAGATTGTTGGACACTGATTTTTATATTTTTCCGCTATATTTTGTTTTATTTTGTATTGCAGGATCCGAGAGAAAAAAAACGTAGAAAATTCATGCCCAAGCATTCTTATAGAAAAAGTTCCAACAGAATGGTCATATGGAAAAATCGAAATCTATCGACTTTTTCCTACTAAATATCTCTAGAATCAGTGCAAAAAACAAATTGAATTTTAACGAAAATTCCTTAGAATTTTAATAGAATCCCAATAGAATTTCTAGAGAATTCAAATAGAATTGTCTAGTGAATTCGCTAAGTTTTTCTATTGAATTTTTTCATGCCTATACTCTCCCCCATATATTTTCTGGTAAATGAAAAAGTCCATTTTCGTAAACTTCATTCATTTATGGGTATTTATGGGTTTTCATTTTGTATGTGGAGATGATAATTCAACGGCGAATAAGTTACCGATTGTCAGTCGTGTAGAGGATTGGCCATCTAGTGTCGCTCTCGAGAGTCTTCACGATGGATGCTGTGACGACGGGGCTCTTGACCACTCGGGGTAACTGGACGACGTTTGGAACGTTTGAATTTGGCGATATCTTCACCGAATACATCACCGGTTCGCAATGCCGAAATAAGATCGTCGAATTCACCCTTATTATCACCCGTACTGTTGGCATTGACTTCATTCTTTTTGTTCAAGGAAATACTGTTGAGAATGCCTTCGCGTGAATTCTTCCTTTCCATTGTTCGTTTCTTCAACTGAAATTAATAAACGGAGATGTTGAGTGAGGAAAGAAATAAATGACAAAATCTTGAGCGGCTGTATCAAAGAGGAATGAGTCGTTTATTTTATAGAATTTTTTGCAAAAAAATTCCAATGTTCAAGGAAACCCGAGAATTTTCTCAAATTTTCTGTAAAAGCGGAGAATTTTCTCGAATTTTGTAGAAAATCCATGAAAATTTTCCAACCGTAAAATTAAAACCGGAGAATTTCCTCAAATTTTCTAAACAAATCGTGAAAATTTTTCAATTTTCTCAAAAAATCACACACTCGAAACACTTTCGCGCCAAATAAACAATGAGAAATTTGAGAAGAGATTGGAGTAATTAGTAGCGTCTAGAGTGTGAAAAAATAGCCAAAATATTTTCTAGAAAATATGAGAAAATTGGAAAATTTTCACGAATTTTCGCGAATAACCCCTAACATAAAATTAAAGACGCATTCACATCGAAATTGAATATATTTTAGTAATCAGCCTTACCTCTTGTTCTTGTTTGATTCTTCGTTCTTCCTCCTCCACTTTTTTCCTCATATTTTCAACATCCGATCTCGCTTCCGCGAGTGCCTGTAAGAAATTTTCAAAAATTCCGAAAAATTCATCCGGTTGAATACCCGCAGAATCTTCGCCGAATAGTCTGACGGCCCTATCGAATCGCGTCTTCATATCCTGGAATAGATCTTCAGCTTCTGCTAATCTGCAAGTCGCTTGTGCTTGGAAATCCCTCATAGCCGGTAAAAACATATCACCCTGCAGTACTTGCACTTGTCCTCGATGGAATTCTAATTTTCAACACAATACATGAAATAATTAACGTATTATTATGAAAACAAATGGGAAATTGCTCTTATATTGTATATAGTATAGTTATTTTTGCTAATAATTATGAATATGCTTCCGAATGGTTATTTTGCACTTCATTTCCTTCTATTATGTATAATTCATTGTTTATTTAATTCTATTAAATTGAATAAGATTTCCTTTTACCTAATTTTGTCAGATTTTCAACTTAATTGAATGGTATCAGCATCATTATTCTTATTATTCCTTTCTTCTATACAACCGATTGTCTTTTTTACAGTTCTATCTCTCCCCTCAGCCCTTCGATAAAATGTTAATAGAAAAATTCTATTTACATACATTTGAATGAATTTGAAACATTATATTTGAAGAAACCATCAGAAAGCTCTTTCAGTGAAATTCCGGAAAAATTCAAAATTTTCAACAATCATCATAAAAATCAAATCAACCAATATAGCTATCATCTTTTACCTTCGACTTAATGGCATTAAAACAAACAGTTTAAGCTATGATTAAATTAATTTGAAGCATGATATTCAAAGATATACCCGGAATTCAATTGTCAAAAAATACAAAATTTTTGAAAATTCTCAAATAAATCAAAATAATGATTATTGCTATCGCCTTCATCTTCGAAACTCGATCAAAGGGACATCCAAACAAATTTTTTAAGCCATCATTCAATCAGTTCAGAACATTTTTTTTAGTTATCGTGAGACAACCGATTTTCGACAAAATTCCAAAATCCATTCATTAGCCATTTAATCCATTTATTAGCGAACAATTGAAGAAAAACTTTGCCGCACACATACGTACGGTCACGGTCTAAAAAGTGCATTTTCGGACTTTTTGGATCATAATGGGTCCATATAACACAAAAAATCCAAAACTTAAATTTCAACGATTACAGTGCTTCCATTCGGAAGCAAAAATATTCCGTACCCTGAGAAATTTCTTTATTGAAAGTATACGTTTCGGTTTCTTTATTACCAATTTCACGTTGAACATCTTGCAGGCCATTCTTCAAGTTGGCCACTTCTTTTTGAAGATCAGCCATACTGACTCTAGCCGCAGTTCTAACATGTGGCATGTCCTCTTCAATATCTAAAACTTCACGGAATCTGGCTTCCAACATTTGCACAAGATAATGCAACAAAGTTGTGCCTTTAGAACATGAAGATTTTGTATCCACGAGCCGATTCAACGAGGCCAAACGAAAGCCGCATGCATTGCCCCGGGCGTTTCCCCGATTGACGTAATTTCCGAGTGCAAGAACCAGTTCGAGTAACTTCCTCAGTCTTCGAGATCTCGCAACCTGTCTGCTTGCTTCAAGTACCGCTCTCATCCTAGGTGTTAATTCCGCAATACTTGCGGAGAATTTTTTCTTGTAATGCAGCGACCTGAGACGCTGCTCATAATGCGGCACTCTGAAATTACGGAAAACAAAAGTGTCACTTATGAAAACCAACACGCATAACATTCTGTACTCAACTGCACAGAGAGATAAATTCAATAAAAATTACCAGAAAAAAACGTCAAAATTACGTTTCGAAACGTAATCCGCGAGCGAAGTAAAATTAAATAAAGTGTGAGTGGGAACTGAAATTGTACGAATCGTCACGTAAATTCTACTATTTGTTCCATAAAAATTAACCACCTGTCTGATGATTCACCGCTGTGGGGACAACAAGTCGTTCCGTAATTTTTCCCCAACGATTGAAAAATTTTACGGAACGGAACGTAGAAGTAACTCACCAGCTTTATAAAAATTGTTCAACGTTCAAGAATTTTTGATTTTGGAGTCATAATAAGTCGAGAAGTTTCTGTAAGATTTTACTTCTTCGGGAAAAATCAGTGATGTCGCGAGACGCGAGACAATCGAGACGAGAGACATGACGAGCGAGACGAGAAGAGTCATTCGGGACAATGACAGAAAGGAGACGAGAGAAGAAGTTGCTCTCGTATTTCGATACGAGACGAGACAAGAGAATGGTTTCCTGACAACGAGACGAAACGAGACGGGACGAAAAGATGAAGTTTCTCGTCTCGTCTCGCGGCATCACTGGAAGAAATGACATGACAATTTCGTACTTTGTTCGGTAATAAACCTGAGAATTCACTGAAGGTTTCAGATTTCTTCTCTTCCACTCCTATAAAAATTGCGGGAAAACGATTGCCGAATACGGATTACGTGAATTGTTCCGTAATTTTTACTGAATATTTCTCTCCGCGTAGATATTTTAATCACATACTTTGAGATTTGATAAAGGAAACAGTCAGCTCTACTTTGAAGTTCCTTGTGATTCATATCAAGCAACGCTGCCTCTTCCGAGGACGGTATATACTTCAACAGTTGTTCCACCATATCAATATGAAGAATATTCTGTTGATCCATCGACAGAATGGTTCGCGTAATTTCATTATCTGACATTTTCAATTTCGACAGCAAAATCGTGCAATTCTGCGCCCGCCGGGAGTCGATAACTGCCATGTTTCGTTTATTCTTTCCCAAATTCCGGAGATCCTCGATAGATCCTTCAGTTGGAACTCCGTTCTTCTGATAAGCGCAGAATATTTTATCAATTGATTCTAAATCCATAACGTGATAAAGCTTTGAATCATCCAATTCCGACCAAATAGTGCCTTGTAATTTCTGTTCTGGAATTTTAGACCAATTGAAAGATTTAAGGGGATTACTAGGCTGTGGTACATTCTTTATGATCTCAACCTTCATCGGTGGAGGTGCTGCTGGCATTAAACATGGCGGTGGAGGAGGTGCAAGTGGTGGAGGTGGTGGCGGTGGTGGTGTTGGTTTCGCCTCAACTCTCTCAACAACTTCATCGTCAACAATTTTTATTGTTGCCTTGGCGTCGTCTGGTAAACTGCCAGACGCTACCAACTGCTCCAGTCTCTTCCTCTCCAATTTCTCATTGTTTATTTGCCGCGAAAGTGTTTCCATATTATCTTGCAGTTCCGAAATTCGTTGTTTGGTTTCAATATGCATTGACGTCTCTTTTTCCAGTCGCTCTTTGATTCTAGCTAGACTCGCCTCCATGTCCTCCTTCTCCTGCGTTCTCAAATCCAATTCTTGTTCTTTCTTCGCCAACTTTGTTGACATATCGGTATTCTCTCGTTCTAGTTCATCGGCTCTCTTTCTAGCTGCCACGAGTTCCTCTTCTTTCGCCAGTAAATGCACTATTTCTTTGACGTTGATATCGATGGGGGCTACGTCAGGATTTTTTGCTGCGCCTGGTTCATTGCTTTCTGATTGTAAGATAATCTGCTGAACAATGCGATCGAAGAGCAACCAATGCTGCGGATGAGAACCGTAGTCGAGTGGTAGTAACAGACAGTGTTCAAGTAAACTAAGAAAATGAGTGTAAGCTGCTGTATGACTGAGCTTCCTCCTCAACAAATCAAACATAGCCGTTGCACTCTTTGTGTCAACGTGTTCCTTCTCAAACTTTCGAGCCAATTCCTTTTCATCTTCGTTCCTCACCATCTCAAAGAAATCTAAATGTCTGTCCAATGTTTCATTTTCGTATTTTCGAAGTTTCTCGATTATTGGTTGTATCCCGAGCATTAAGAGCTCGTATCGCAGGTGGAGCCTGAATTCCAGTGTTACTTGACCGGGTCCATAATTCAGAACTGCATTTATAAATGACATTATAGCTGTTTTTAGGGACAAATTGTCCTTGTAGATTCCAAAATTCTTGTCTAAATCGTTAATTATGCTTTGAAATCGTGCTCTCTCGGAATGATACTGTTGAAAGTGTAGCATCGCTTCCAGGACTTTACGATGACCACCCGGTACTAGACAGACAGCGCCCAATATCTCTAACACCGATATCTTTGCTTTGATGTTTTCAGTCGCCAGCGACTGAGAAATAGTGTTTATCGCCGTTAGGTGGGCTAGTACATGTGCTCGTCCATTCTGAAATTACATAATAATAATCCGATAAAAATTTTCATCGCCGATTTCAATTATTCGCTATTTTTTTATGTATTATATGGAAATGTGAGGATAGGAATTGAATTTATGGGTGTTGGTTCATTATTAGAAAAAATTTATCAATTTTAAAATTTTGCCTTGACATTGAAAAATTAAAAATTCTGTCTTCGTGGTGATCTCGTTTCTCTTCTTCTTTTCACTTTCTTCGATCAGAATTAGATAATAGAAAGGAAATACATTGATTTTTCTTCATTATTACAAAAAAAAAGTTTTGAAATTTTCAAGATTGAAAAATCGATTTTTTAAATTTATTTCTGATTTTCCGTCCCTACATTTTCGGTATTTCCTGTTTCTATGAACGGAATACGATCACAGCAATGAAAAATGTTAATCTCCCTTCATTTTTTAAGATTATTTTTCTCACTCTGATTTCAGCCAATCAGAGCGCAGTATTTGAGGCTGTCAAACAGTTTTATTTCGGAAATTTCTAAAAAATTTCCGACGGAAATTCAATAGTAGCTTTTCCAATGTTTCTCATCTTTCAACGCATTTCACGTTTAATATTCTGTGTGACAGATAAACAAAAAAGTGGGTTGTAAATGTATCCGGCTGCTGTTCACTGCATTTTGCTTGGTCGAAATCCGAGTGGAAAAATAATCCGTCAAATACCACTTGCGCTTCAAAATTAATCGGATATTTTCCTCAAGCTTCCCTGCCAAGGAACGAAGCTATCGGCAAATATACGATAATTTTGAAGCACTAGTGGTATTACAACTGAAAAAACAATTTTAAAAATTTTGAAAAGAAAAATAGAAAAATAGATTTTTTCATTTTATTGATACTGATTGATGATGATCGATCCCTCTTTGCAATTTCCTTGTTCGGTTCCATTGAAATGAGGCCAAATGGATGTAAAATGTTTATATTCGTTCACATTTTCAGATCATTGCTTCCAATTAATTTAAAGACAAAGAAAGAAACGAAAAATTTTAGATATGAGTATCGAAAATTGTTTATCGATCTGTATTCTCACGTCATTTATAGCGAATTCCTCTCCATTTAATTTTGCAACTTGTGAATTAAGGAACAAATATATATATAATAACAATAAGAATGAATAAAATAAAATTAATCTAATTGTGAAGATGGACATGGAAAGAAAATAAAATAAAATAACAGTATAAGTTAATCAAATTTTCAAATAATCGCATTGTGAAAGAACTGGAAATGGCTAAAGAAATATCATTCAATTACCGAATTGTTCATTAACGCCTTCAAACATCCTATGACACTCGTGTGCAGATTGTTGTGTGTAGCTTCCACATCAATTGTACCCAGAACCTGAAGAAGAGCATTCAAACCATCGAGTTCGATGAATCTTAGGACAAAACTGTGTGGTTGAGTCCTAAGCGCAGTCTTCAGAGCCTCCACTTGGCGCATTTGGTTCGCTAGCTCCTCCGTGTCCTCGGAAAAAGGTGTCTGTGAATAAAACGGGGATGAGGGTCAATTAGCATTGTCAATATTTCATCGCTTCGTTAAGGGGAGGTTCACCCCGGGAAAAAAAATATTTTGTTTTTTGAGAAAAATAATTTTTAAATAGTATTTTTCGTGATGTTTCTTCAGGAATCCGATTTTGTAGGTCAAATTTGTCTGCCACCTCTAACTATTAGAAATTCAAATTTTTTTGGATCAAAAATCAACTTTTAAAAAAATCCTAATGTATTTTTTAAAAATAGTTTTTCGAATACGATCACAAATTTTGGTTCCTTAAGGAAAAACTAATATGAGTTTTAAAAGTTGCGGGATATTGGAGAGAGATTCTTCATACATTGATAATCCATTATATCACGTATGAAAAAATCCTATAAGATTTCCTATAGGAATTCCTAAGGAAAATTCGAACTTTTCCTATAAGATTTTTCAGATAAGATTTCTTGTAGGATTCCCCATCAGGTTTTTCCTATTGGATTTTTTATAGGAAATCCAATGTCTTATAAGATTTCCTATAGGATATCCTATAAGATGTTCTATAGGATTTCCTATGAAATTGAGAGCCATAAGAATCAGAATGAGGGTCAAAAGAGTCATATGGGGGTCATATAAGGATCATAAAGGGATCATATGGGGTTCATATGAAGGTCATTTTATATGAGGGTCATATGAAGGTCATTTGATCCTCATATGCCTCCCATATAATCCCTATATAACCCCTATGTAACCCCTATATGATCCCATATGACCCTGATATGATTCCCAAAACATATCCAGATAACCCACACATAACAACCCTCACATGATCCCTCCATAACACTCTTGACCCTCATTGTGACACTTATGCCCCTAAATGCTATAAGAAACACAATAGGAAAAACCTGATAAGGAATCCTCTAAAAAATCCTATAGGAAATGTTCGAATTCTCCATAGGATTTTCTATAGAAAATATATAGGGAATCCTATAGGATTTTTTCATACGGGATATTAATAGAAATTTTGATAAACGAATAAATTTCAAAATGTATCTCCTCCCGCATTTTTTATAATTATTAAAATAAAAATTAGTGATCATATTCAAAAAACTATGTAAAAAAATACGTTGGGAATTTTTCTTATGTTGACGTTTCGATTTAAAAAATTTGAATCCCTAATTTTGGAGAAAAATCACGCGGAAAATAGTATATCGTGCATCAAGGGCGGAAAGTCAAGCCTGCAAAGGAAAGTTCGTATTTTTTTTGTACTGCTTCTCACGATTTCTCGTCTGGGAATTGGTATTGCATCCTTCCCAAACTCGAAAACTTGAAAATCACTACAAAAAAATCTCGTCCCGGGCTGCTGCGATGGGGTTTTTTTACTCAGGTGGTTGGCCAGTCCTCGCCTTCGGCTCAGACGCCAACGCCACATGAGTAAAAAACCCCATCGCAGCAGCCAGGAAAAATACTATTTCTCTTTGATGAGCGGGAGGAAAGTATGAACTTTCCGTGCAGGGTTGTGAAAATAGTATTTTTAATTTTTTTTCCTTGAAAAACGAAAAAGTTTTTTTCCCTGGATGAACCCCTTAATAGGTCTAAAAAAAACTTACACTAGCTATCACCCGCACTCTGTTGATGTAGTCCTCAGGATCCCCGCTGAGATCCGTGGTCCGTAGTCCCCCATTGTCCATACTATCGTTTCCCTTTCGTGAGCAATAAATCTGCCATTTCTTATTAGCTGGAAGTGCCAAAACAGCTTGGCGATTTGCTTGTGTGAGATCGAGTTCATCAACGAGTTCCAGAAACATTTTATTCAATTCCTCTTCAGCCGGCATCGGCAAAGTTGGTGTCATTGCCTGGAGCGTGAGCGTACCCGTTTGTTCCACCACACAGTAGGTAATCTCCGGCGGTTCGTCATCCTTTCAAATAAAACAGAGAATACAAAATGCTCAATTAATTGCTTACAACCGGTTATAACTCCTTATGAAAAAAATACAGTGAGAAATGGACAATCAATCATTCCGATATATTATTAGCCGTAGCCGATATGCTGTGTGCAGTGAATCGCAAAGTAATCAAGGGATTGTCATCGGAAGATATTCTCTGAGGAAGATAATCCGACATCATGCCAGTTTGCCTCTTGCGATTGCCGGCATCACCAAAGGTCAAGCGACCGGCTCTCCTCTCTGGGCCGCTGACATTCCTCAGGTACTTTCACACGTGACTAGGAAATTGCCCTTTCAGAAGATTGGTACATATATTGTTGAACGGCCGATTGCATGCAAGCACTAGTCCATGAAAATCCTTCTTTTAAAGTAGCTCTACCCTTACGGTAAATTCAAAGATTATTAAAAACTGCAAAAAATTGCAGAAAACTCGTTTAGATTTGGAATTCTAATTTTTTTCTCAATTTAATTATCGTTTTGGTTTTTCAAAGAGGAAATGTTTAAAAATCAGGATTTAACCCAGTGTCTCATGTGAAAATCAACATTTCCATTGTAATCAAAGATTAAAATCTAAATTTTTTTTCATTCAATGTGAAAAAATCAAGAATTTTTTTGACACCTCATAAAAAATAATCCACTGTTTTGCAAACAAGTTTTATTATTTATTTATAAGAGGGGAATGTTTGAAAAAATATCAATATTTTGCGAAATTTAATTTAGATAATACTGACTGGGTATGAATTTTTTCAAATTGTTTCCATTCAATTTAGTTGAAAAATTTAAAAACAGAACATATCCAAAAGTACAACGTAGCCCGGCCGAAGGGTAGAGCTACTTTAAGGGAATTCCACGAAAAAGTAGCGTAAGATCTTCAAAAATTAGAGTGCCACATTCGAATTTTTCATAAAAAATAATCCACTGTTTTGCAAACAAATTTTATTATTTATTTATAAGAGGGAAATGTTTGAAAAAATATCAATATTTTGCGAAATTTAATTTAGATAGTAGTGACTGAGTCTGAATTTTTTCAAATTTTTTCCATGCAATTTAGTTGAAAAATTTAAAAACTGAAAATATGCGAAAGTACAGCGTAGCCCGGCCGAAGGGTAGAGCTACTGTAATCACAGAGAAGAAAAAGTTTTTAGTCTCCAGAATCAAGTCACTGATTTCAAGAACCTCAGGGTTCTAGAAAGCATTGTAGTGAGAGTAACAAACTGGTTACTCAATTTTAGCCAGCTATTAGATTCCAAGTCAGACACGTTTTTAAATCACCGCTGTGTTATTGATGTGAGAATCATCGGGTTCTCAATTTGAAAATGTTTGTATTCTTGAATTGAGAACAGTCAAAAGGGATAAGATTCTGCAATAATTGAAGATTAATCCAAGGTTGATTAAGTAAAGGTGTCAAGGAATAGATGTATTTAGAACAACTACAGGTGGAAGATTGATTTTAGAACAGAAAAAATCATCAATTTAAGAATGAGAATATCTTTTTATATTATAAAAATCCACATCGACTTCTGAGAAAATTTAGTACTCGAAATTGAGACACCAAAATTAAGGGTCGTGAGGGCTAGAATAAGGTTCACAAGGGTCATATTAAAGATCATGAGGGTCAGAATAAGGGTCACAATGGTCAGAATAAGGTCCAAATAAGGGTTACAAGAGTCAGATTACGGGTCATATGGATCAGATTAAGGGTCGTAAGATTAAGGCTCACAAGGGTCAGAATAATGTCCAAATAAGGGTCACAAGAGTGAGATTAAAGGTCATATGGGTCCTCGCAAGAGTCAGATTAAAGGTCATATGGGTCAGATTAAGGGTCCTAAGATTAAGGGTTGCAAGGGTCAGATTAAAGGTACAAATAAGTGTAACAAAGGTCAGATTTAGGGTCTAAATAAGGGTCAGAATAAGGGTCATGGTGGTCATATAGGGACCATATGAGGATCATACGGGGGTCGACGAGAGCGGAGCGAGGGGGCATAGCCCTTTAGTTCCTAAAATATATAATTTGAGATAGGCGAGCCATCAAACACGCTAGTGTTCCTAGTCTGAGAACCTGAAGGTTCTTATTTTAAGAACTCAGAAGTTTTTAATTCCTGAACCACTATTTTTCTCTTAAAATAAGGGAAAAAGTGCCTCAATTCCAATACAATTATACTAGATTTGAGTAAAAAGGGCCGAAAATTAAGACTTTTTTCTCTATCTTTTAGGGAACATTTGCTTAAAATAAGTGAAAATTTCACTCATTTCCAGGATTGGTTGCACGGGAGATTTCACTACGGCAAAGTTCTGAAATTCAAAAATTTTCGAAGAAAAAAAAGTTAAAACCGATATTTCTTCCTTTGCTAACTCTAACTGAGATGACCGGAGACTTTTTCGTTGATTTTAGAGGCACATATATTAAGACTAATGATGATAAAAATAGAAATTTATAGGGAGGTTTGGAGAGGGACTTTTCGGACTAATCTCCTCCCGGGTTCTACCGCACCAGAGAGATCATAAAAACTGGAAAATATTCCAACGTGGAGATCTTATATATTTGGAATGACCCCAACAGAATTGATAATATAAATCGAGTCCCACCATTGACGTGGAAGAGAGACTAAAAGGACTAAGATAATGAGAATGTCTCTAACTCTCAAGGGACCAAGGTCAACTGGATGCAGGTGAAGATGTTTTTCTTACAGAAACAAGTATCGTCTTGTTAATCGTATCGGTCGCCGAGATAGGTCTGGAACATGTCAAAGACCCTTGGATATAATTTCAACTGAATCATTGGAAATTTCGAAGAAATATCTTAATCATTCTTTATTTCGCATTTTCGTTTTTACGTGGAGAAAAAAGATGAGTAGTAATTACGTGAAATCTCGGATCATTCTGAATCAAGGCTCCGTTTTGGAATTTTTATTTGAAATCGAGTAAAAATAAATCATCTTTATTCAAAAAAGTTGTGGTATGTAGCACAATTTTTGCCCATTTTTCGATGAAAAATTATACCGATGGAAGATAAACTTTTCGATATTTCAGAACATGTTTACGCTATGGTACATGTGGAGAGATAATTACATGACAATCCCGTGCGAGTACCTTTAAAAATTCGAATGTGGCACTCTAATTTTTGAAGATCTTACGCTACTTTTTCGTGGAATTCCCTTAGAGTAGCTCTACCCTTCGGCCGGGCTACGTTGTACTTTTGGATATGTTCTGTTTTTAAATTTTTCAACTAAATTGAATGGAAACAATTTGAAAAAATTCATACCCAGTCAGTATTATCTAAATTAAATTTCGCAAAATATTGATATTTTTTTAAACATTTCCCTCTTATAAATAAATAATAAAACTTGTTTGCAAAACAGTGGATTATTTTTTATGAGGTGTCAAAAAAATTCTTGATTTTTTCACATCTAATTAAAAAAATTCAGATTTTAATCTTTGATTACAATGGAAATGTTGATTTTCACATAAGACACTGGGTTAAATCCTGATTTTTGAACATTTCTTCTTTGAAAAACCAAAACGACAATTAAATTAAGAAAAAAGTTAGAATTCCAAATCTAAACGAGTTTTCTGCAATTTTTTTGCAGTTTTCAATAATCTTTGAATTTACCGTAAGGGTAGAGCTATTTTAAAAATTGTGGTGCCACATCCAAATTTATTGGTGACCATGGTTTGATCCCATGGTTGGTGAATACACTGATAGAATGATTCATTCATTCCAAATGAGATTCGTTTACTATTAACGAATGGTAGAATGCGCATTTGTTAACTATTAAAAATCAAATAGCGGAGAGTGGGGCAAAATGAAACAGTGGAAAAATGACGCAATTCAAGCAAAAAATTTTTTTTTGTCAATTTTTTAAAATCAATTTTTGTTTATTAAATTTTTTCTATTCTTGAAAGTATTAATGAGAATAATAATTTTCCATTCAGTAAAATGATAAATTATTGAGCAGTTTTGACGGGAGAAGATTTAGTTAACAAAATGAAACAGCAAAATCCAAAGTCCAGAGAAAGGACCAGTGGGAGACTCAAAGGGGAAAAAAGGAAAATGTTATGTTGAATTTCAATCGAAAGAAAAAAGCAAAGTGTAATCGGCCTAATGCAATCAATTGAATTATAGGATCAATAGAAAATTATTATTCTCATCAGTACTCCCAATAATTAAAAAAGTTGATAATAACAAATATTAAAAAAATTTATATTTTGCTTGAGTTGTGCCAAACACTCATTTTTCATTTTACCCCACTCTTCCCTGTATATTTATTAATTATTAACGAACGAACACTTGGTGAGACCGAAAAGACCCTAGCCTCTAACCGAATCCATTTGTTAACAATAACTAATCTTTTCCATCTGTGTAGCACACCAATTTTTGCGAAAATTTTTTCTCCGTGTAACCAGTCATCTTTGAACTGCATCCACGCCGCTCGGATCAGTCTATTGAAATCAACAAAAATGATATGACACAGAATCATAATTTTTTCATCACATTATGAGTAAAGCGCTGTTTACGGATATTGTGAAGAAAAATTACGGACGTCACTCGGCCGAAAAAAAATTTCTGACTCGTATGATTGCATATTGCGTGAAGCGCAGCGTGCGATAAACTCGACTTATTACACGCCGTGACATAATAATATATTTCGTAACGAGTGCAAAAAAGTGTTTTTTGGCGAGTGGGAGGTTTATATCACGAGCTAAAAAACATTTTTTCACGAGTTACGAACAATATTTTTCATCACAATGTGGCGGAAATTGGACTTTTAGGCACGCGGAGTGTGCCAAAAAGTTCACTTTTCGTCACAGCGTGATGAAAAATCTTTTAATAAATACTCATTTTTAGTTGAATGACTTGTATTTAACAATATTTTTCTCTCCGTGTAATTCGAATGAAGTCTAATTTTGTGCGTGAAATCAGATAATCATCTGAACTAATACCCTACTTTTTCGAGATATCGATTTTACTTGACATCTTCTATTCAATGTCTGAGGCCTCTTCATGGATGAGATTTCATTACTTCAACTATCAAAAAACATGTCACGTTGAGTAATTCGTAAAAAAACCATTCGACTCTGGCTTCATAGAAGTGGTAGTTCGATCGCAATCTTCCTCAGAATTTACCAAGTCATCACATGACAATTCAAAGAGGAGAATGAAAGATAGATAGGCATAGCAATAAATTGTATGAGAGCAGACATTTCTGCGGAGGGCAAATCTTCAGGCACGATATTTTCCTCCACTAATACGCATGAAGTGTATGGATTCCGGTACACGGAGATCGTTACAGGTCTACATTGTTGGAATGTCGAGTAACCTGTTGAACATATGTTGTTTACTTGATCATTTTATCACTGAGTGCGAACGATCGCAATACTTTTCCTCCTTCCCACATCAAAAACGGCTAAGCTGCTTCCACCTACATGCATGTGAAATTAATTGGTGATGTTAGATATGAAATGGAGTGTTGACATAAAAAAAATTAAGACGCAGATGAATTAAGCTCGAATGATGAATAAGGAAAAACGAGAACAACCTTCAGATTCACCTCTCATTTCCAGTTTTATGGAGAGTTATATGTTAATACTCATTATATTATTATATTATGAGTTAACATCGCATAATCGGAATACATTGTTGGGAAAAAATTGACATTTCATGACCAGTTTAGTAATTATCGTCAGAAAATCAACATTAAATTCTACTCCGAGGGAAATAAGTGGATAATTGCAGTCTGCTTATAAATGAGTATAGTTGTAGTTGCTAATAAATTATCAATTTGCTTTCGAATGGATTCTCTGTTTTTTCAATTCTTATTTCAGTATTCTGTTCTTCTATTTTTTTATGTCGTAGAACTAACATCAATTAAAATGTCATCAAAATTTGGTGTATTATTTCGTTCTGTTAAATGATTCTACATTTAGAGCCTCCAAGACTCGCATTCATTTTCAGTCCGGGTTTAATCAAGGTTTAATCAGTGTATAGCCGGGCTTTAATCAGAGTGTATTAAGGATTTCGCCAGAGTTTAACCCAGGTTCTCTCAGAAGTTAGTCGAGACCATGAATCAATAAGAGTAAATATTTAACATTATATGCTGGTACCTGAGTTTAATAGAAATAGAGATTTTTTAATATAAAAAGTACATGAAGGTATTGTGTAACTTGATAATTAAATATGCTGTTCTCAACATTTTTCAATTTGATTGAAAAGCCATTGAAATAAACTTATCAAGCCCTGATTTAATTGATACTACTAATACTGATGATATTACTCATACTGACGCTTGTTCCAGTCATCATGAAATATCCATTTTCTCTTTCAAATCGCATAAACAATGTTCTATAACTCAACAACAAATTGTGCGAGCCTCATCATATTCTGATAGAATCAAGAAGGTATTGTTATTAATTTTTTGAGCGATGACTAATCTCATTTTGATGACAATTTTGTGATGGATCGTTGAAAAATCGTTTTTGGAAAAATATTAATTTTTTTGAATCTGTATGAAAAATGGAATTTTAATTGGTGTCAATAAATAGAGCTTATTAAAGCTATATTCATGGGATTCGATTAGTCAGTATGAGAAAATGTCGAGAAAAAAATTAAGAAAAATGAAAACATACGTGGATTATAATGAAATGGGGGCTTCTAACATGCGAGGCATAGACCAAACGGAGTTTATGGGTCCCCCCGAACTTGATTTTTTCATCTTACGAGAACACGGTTCTCACGATGTTTTTAAAAAACTAATCCGTGATAGATTAATAGATTCCGAATACGGTGAATTTTTTGTAAAATTTTGTACCACACAGTTTCTGCGATATTGAACCTTAAAAAATGAAAATTTCGTGAAAGCATTCATTATGTGATTCAAAAAATTGATTAACAAATAATTCCGTATTTGATTCAAATAGCTATTGCTGTCTGCATCAACAACACGTGAGAATAAAAAAACTCAATAACTTATGACAATGTAATAAATTAAGTAATTTAGAATGTTTTATCGTGTTAAATCGATATGGACTAACTTTGGGCCCGATTATCTTGGAATATACCTTAATCTCTATATTATAAAAATTCAAATCGACTTCTAATGATAAAAATTCGGTACTCGAAGTTAAGACCCCAAAATTAAGGGTCACAAGGATCAAGCTAATGGTCACGAGTGTCAAAATGAGGGTTATGAGAGTTAGAATAAGGGTTACGAGGGACAGATTAGGTGTCACGGTCAGAATAAGGGTCGTGAGGCTTAGGATGAAGGGTCACAAAGGTCAGAATAAGGATCATGAAGCTGATATCTAGGTCTTATGGGGGTTGGCGAGCAGAGCGTAGCCCCCTAGTTTTGAAATAAAATCATGATTTTTAAATTTCCATAGACTATTTTTTTTTATTCATATTTCTTGGCTACTACCATTACGGTTTTATAGGCTCCCCATTCGTCTGCCTTGCCTCTCCCACTTCTCTCTTCTGATTTCTTCTGCGTTACCATGGGCGGTCTTACTCTTAACTGTACCCCATTCGGGCTAGGGCTGCAAGGGAAACCATGGAAAACCCCAGTCGTAGAGCCGGCCGATAATGCAGGGATTCCACTGTGTCCATTGGTCAGACTGACTCAATGGGCACAGTGGTTCTCTACATTCGTGCCTAGCGACTGTAGTCCCACGGGGTTAGGTGTGCCTAAGCGGACACCCATCCAAGTACTGGGCAGACTGAACGCTGCTTAGCTTGGATGACCGCCGGAGCCACACACTCCCCGCATGATCACTACAGCCACAATCCATAGACTAATAATTCATTATTTAATCATTGAGCAAATGTTCCATAATTCAACTGCTCACTCGTCACTCTAACTCATTCACATCGTAAATCAAACTCTGCAATCATATATGCGTCCAATGTTCAGGAGAATCATCGACAAGAGAAATGATGTTTCCATTCCCTGACGTGCATAAACACATAATACAGTGATAGTCATCACTCAAAAGATTCGTTTTACTCTTAATTTGCTGAAGAAAACAATCTCATTCCATTCAGAATAAAAAACGCATATTCTTTCAATTGTTGGATCCAGAATGAATACGAAATGGAGAGTGAGAATAGTAAGTGATGTTCGTGCGTCTGCACCTCCTCGCAATGATTATACTCAACAAACACGCGATATGAACCACTCTCATTTTCTAAAACCCACTATTTCATCTCTCCAATCTTTTCTAATTTACCTGGAGACAACCACAAAACGATTTCTTCACTCTCGACGGCATTGTCTGGCAGTGTACGACAAAGTCCTTCACAGGTTGAGGAGTTTTCCGGGGACAGCTCGGGAGTCTCTGAAAAATAAAAGAGAGAATTAATGACTGAGAAGACAACTCCGTTAGTTTCTTGTCATTTAATCGCTACTGGAAAGCGGATGGGATACCATTTTCAATCGAGTCAACGATTCCATAGTTGATGTAACCATTTAATGGTTTTTACGTAACTGAGATGAGAATTGTCGTCGCTTCAGAGATCATTCCATAGAATTATTTAGAAATTTCACTTTTTTTATTAATTCCTGTTCACCCAACGAGTTGTCACTGACTGCGTTGAATGAACACCGGGAGCGAAACACCACAAACTGATCTCGAATATTTTCCTTATCTTTTCTGACTTTTTCTCATGGAGGTATTGTTATCATATGCAAAAATATTCAACAAACTTATCTGGCGTTTATGTGTTATCATATTTGATTTTCTTATCCAACTTCTGTAGTCAGGTTGTGCAAATACAAAAAATCTAGATTAAAGAAAGCAACAAACTTGGATTTTCCACTGATTCTCAAGGAAAAAAATCGGACAGCTACACAAAAATAGTCGGCGCCGCTCGCTCGCTTCGCTCGCTCCCGGGTTAGAGTGTAACTGATAGGGGTTGGTGGTAGGGATTGGTCGAACCAATAACCTCTCGGCCGATTCCCTTTTTTCTGCCGATTAGAAACGAAGCAAATTTTGAAAGTTTCATCCACATAATAGAACAACCGCTGAGACGATTCCGTTGAACTAGTGATGTCGCGAGAGCCTTCACGAGACAGTACTTTAGAGAGATAATCTCGGTCTCAACGAACATGGAATTTTTCGCCTCGCCTCCTCTTTCTCCAGTCCAGTCATTCCCAGGCAGTTCTCATTAGGTTTCAATTATGCCAATTATATTGCCAGAAGATAATCAGGTAAGTTATGACCTTGAGTGAACTCCCTTAATAAGTATCAGCATTAAACAATTAATCAAAATTCTTCCCTCCGGAAAATAAAAAATTTAGGAAAAATGCATAATCATTAGAGGAGTTCATCCAAGGTCATGTGCAACATTGTCATCCTCTAGACCGACATGAATTTTATAATTGAAACCTAATCAGGCTCGTCTAGGAATGACTCGACTGAAGAAATACGATTTTTGAAAAATAAATGCTTTTCTCAAGTAAATGAATATTTGGTAAAAATAATTTTTTTTCTCAGTGTACTAATCTTCCGGTTCTTCAATATTAAAGTAGCTCTACCCTTCGGCTGCGCTACGCGGTATTTTGGATATTTTCAGTTTTTAAATTTTTCAACTAAATTGCATGAGAAAAATTTGAAAAAATTCATATTCAGTCAGTATTATCTAAATTGAATTTCGCAAAATATTGATATTTTTTCAAACATTTCTTTTTTATAAATAAATAATAAAACTTGTTTGCAAAGCGGTGGATTATTTTTTATGAGGTGTAAAAAAAAACTCTTCATTTTTTCACATCTAATGAAAAAAATTCAGATTTTAATCTTTGATTACAATGGAAATGTTGATTTTCACCTAAGACACTGGGTTGAATCCTGATATTTAAACATTTCTTCTTTGAAAACCCAAAACGATAATTAAATTGAGAAAAAAATTAGAATTCCGAATCTAATCGAGTTTTCAAGGTACAATTTTTATGCAGTTTTCAATAATCTTTGAATTTACCGGAAGGGTAGAGCTACTTTAAAAGAATTTCCGACTTACATTGATTAAGGTTGACATATACTAATCGAAATTTAAAAATAAAAAAATAATTGATAATCCAAATTTCCAATTTATGATGAATTAAATATTTAATAAAATGGAACTGTAAATTTCCTATCAAGTTAATAATACTAAATTTCTAATAAGGGATTTCCCATTTTCAAAATAATCGTAAATCTTCCGAACTAAATTACTGATTGAGAAATAATTCGTAATTTGAATATTTAAATTGATGATTACTTCAATACTTAAAATTTAAGAGTGATATTAACGAATTAACTACTTAATAATTTAACGGTAATTATAATTTATGGATATGACTATCCCTGCATCTCGGTCTCAAGTTTTTCGTGTTTTTTAATGTACAATTTCGGTTTTTATCTCGGTTTGTCTCGTCTCGATCTTCTACATATAAAAAACACGAAAAACTGGACACCGAGATGAGATAAATTGACTCGGAGTCATCACGAGAGGAGTCAATACTGCGTATTTCGAGGTTGCGATGAAACCAAAAATTTCCGTGTTCACTGAGACCGAGACAATCTCTCCAAAGTACTGTCTCGTGATGTCTCTCGCGGCATCACTACGCTCAACATCCAATGAGAATCAAGTTATGTGAAGACGCACCGGTTATACAAAATTAATTCATATACCATGGTTATCTCCGGTAAAATCGTCGAATTTTTTACGCCACCGTTTCAAGGCATGAATTGAAAATCGAAAAGGGACAATTAACATTGGCTTTCGCAAGAAGACGCCGACCAAACCTTCACTTTCCACTGAAATCTCCATTTTCTCACCGCGAAATACGGGGATCGCCTCGCCGAACGCATAACAGAGACATTTTTATTATAATGAGGAAGATGTCATCGGACTTCCGACCACTGGTGGGCAAGGGGATTATGTCTGGCAACACCGTTGATGCAGCGAAGTCTATTACGTGCTGTACATTATGTGAATCCGCACGTGTTATACTTTGTTGCAAAAATGTTTCGCCCGGAAATAATAAACGCCTGATTCCAGTGCATGGAGAAGTAGCCAAGTGGAAGATGCAGATTTACTGCTTTCGTCACACCGCGTGAAGCTTACCTTTAGATTTACCTACACGGAGAGAAATATTCAATAAAAATTACCAGAAAAAAGACGGAAAAATTACGTTTCGAAACGTAATCTGGGAGCGAAGTAAAATTCAATAAAAAGTGTCAATCGTCACGTAAATTCTACGATCTATTCCGTAAAAATTACGCATCCGTCCTACGCCTCACGCGGCTAGCCATGAGTCACCGTGGGGGGGAGATTTTAACAACACGTTCCGTAATTTTTCCGGAACTTTTCGTAAAAATTCTTAAACATCCAAGAATTTTCATGTTCTGAGGCATAATAAGTCTTGAAGTTTCTGTTAGATTTTACAACTTCCAGAAAAATTACGTGACTTTTTCGTATTTTTTCGGTGACAGACCCGAAAATTTAGTGAACGTTTCAGATTTATTCCCGTAAAAATTCACTGAAAACGATTCTCGCTTGCGGATTACGTGAAATGTTCCGTAATTTTTCTTGAATATTTCTCTCCGTGTACGTGATGCGTAATGAGTACACTGAAAAAAACAAAGTTTTTTGAGAAGTACATATTTACTTGCATCAAAAAATTTGTGACTTGAAAATCTTCAAGAGCAAAATATCTTGCACTAAAAAAAAAACTTTCGTCAAGACATTTTATACTCGTCCTAAAGACGAGGTCAATTTCTTGGTGACAAGAAAGCGATTTCTCAAACCAAATAAAATTGAAGTAATTCATTTAATAGTTTTTTAGCATCAATTCAAAAATATTTTAATGAAAAAATCCCTTGAATTGATTTCAGAACTCGTTTTCTTTATATAGAGCTAATTACCCTCATCTTTCAGACAAGTAGAAAATTTCTTAGCGTAGGATTTTTTTCTTAGTGTGAGATATTGTGCGTTTGGTAATTATCAAGTCATGAATTTCTTGATACAAGCAAAGACGTACTTCTCAATAAACTTTTGTCTCCTCAGTGTAATCTTGTTCGATTCTTGTGAGAGAGATTGTTCAACTTGAGTGAGGCATGGGAGATTATACATGGAGGAACAAAAATTAGGAAAAGTACCAGGAAAATAACGTAAACATTACAGTCTACATCGTGGAACGTAATGTCCAATTTATAAAAATTATTGTGGCCCACGTAAGTTTTCAATTGTCACAAAATTGTGTGAGTTATCAGATGATTTTTCCTAGAATTTGTTCTCTGTTTCATCGTCAGCGCATGATAAAAATCGTAAACTATTGGTGATGAAAGACTCTTTCCAATAATTATCACGGTGTTGCGTAAAAATGATGTTATTAAAAAATGAAAAGTCTCAAGTGAACAGATAAATTGCGTTACTTTTTTTCATCTCTTCCCCACGCTTCGTCCTTAATCCCTCCAGCAGGGATCCCCATCAATATTAAATTTGTGTAATATTACAAGAATTTGACCCATACATTAATGAAGGTTTAACATATGTTGATCCAATTTTTCAAATAATATAATATTATTAATCTGATTTTTTTCGAATAATGATGTATTTAAAATTTGTTAAGGATGTTCTACACCCTTTCTGCCAAAATTCACGTTTTTTTAATTTTTCTGGCAAACTTATGATGGAATTGACGTGAAAAAATATAACGTTTTTGCGTTTTGTCATTATTTAATGACTGACGAAATTTTAAGGTGGTGCGAACATTTTCCTGCGTTTTCTCTAAACTTTTAAAAAGAATCACAAAACTGTAGAAAAAACGCATGAAAATTATCGCACCACTACGCAACTTCGTGAGCCATTAAAGAATGACAAACCACAAAATCGTTATATTTTTTCACGTCACTCCCATCGATAATTTGCCAGAAAAATGAAAACAACGTCAATTTTGGCTAAAAGGGTGTCGAACATCCTTAATATGAAATTGTAAATCTACTAGTAAATGAATAATTGAAATATCTTAAAAGGGGATTTTCGATTACACAAATAATCATCAATCTTACTACCTCAATTATTGATTGATAAAATAGTTGAAAATTTGAATATTTGAATTGATGATACTTAACTACTCAAAAAATTTAAGAGTGATATTAACTAATTGATGGCTACAATATTTAACGACAATAAAATATTACAAATTTGGCTATCCCTGCCCTCAAGTACGGCGTCCGGGCACGTTTAGCTTGCTTTTGGCAACGCCGCACAACGGTCGATTTCATTTTAATTTGGTCTGAATTTGAATTTCGATATTGAACTGTTAGAAAACAGTTTAAAAATCTTTTAAAAA